GGCTGGGCGCTCAAGACTGGCACTGGCCAGGCAGAGAGGATGTTACTAGTAGGTAGGCGAACATTCCTTGAAAACGAAAAAAAACGAAAACCCCAAGGAGAGCATGACGCGGGCGTGCATGCCAGGCATTTTATGCGCGCATGTCTTGTCTTTCGATGTGTGCCCCAGGTTACATGCCCCGAGAGTCTTCATAGACGCCACATCCAGGACATGGTTGCCATGTCCTACCACCTCAAGTTAGGAGACCTCTAGACGTCTGCCAGCCGGCGGCCACCTGCCGCGTGGATGAGAGAGGGGGGTGGGTGCCCACGTACACATACACATACACATACACATACACATACGCACAGATAATGCCGGGGTTGCCGACCTGGCGCGCGCATGTATGTATGCGGCGGCCTTCTTTCTTCAGCCCCCTCCCCCCCCGCCCGCGAGTCGGGTCGGCAGCGGTAGCGGGCGATCTTTGCAGAAAGCAAGCCTACCCGGACGAGAGGAGAAGAGAAATATCAGGAAATAAAAGGTACCCAGTAGTGGTATACAAGGCAATGAAGGTGCTTGGGTGTTACACAAACACAAAACGAAACACCACTTTTCCGTTTTCGTACAAGGCTCCAGCCAGCATGACTGACCAGATTTGAATCCAAGAAAAGCAGGAAATGGAAGAGTTGCATGCCCAATATCCCCATGTTCCATTCCTGCTGTTTTCCCCAATTGCCCAAAATGGGCAATGCCAACTAACAAAAAGCAACAAGAGCAAGATTGTCAAGCCAAGAGCGAAGCGGTCGACACAAGCCACCAAGGCACCAGCTGCCGCCGCGGGCTTGCTGCACCGTCGATCTTGGGGGAGCCTTCCGGTCCCCCATCAGACGTGCGAGTAACCTCCCATAACCCATAATCCCATATGTTGCTACTGCTGCGGTAGATGAGAGCAACGGACATCAACACACCCATCAGCCCTGGCTCTGGGCTTGATCGAATTCGAGGGGGACAGACAAAAAAAAAACCGCATCGAGTATTCCGCCGGCCGGCCCCTGCTAGCCTGCCCTGGGTCCAGGTCCGTGGTCAGTCCAAGCCACGCCGATCCCCGACTCTCTCTTTTGTTTTTTTGGGACTGTTCGTTTCTTTGGCGCCGACCTACTGACGGCGGCGGCGGTGGCGGCGCGGCCTACGCGGGACCCAAAACCCCGTGCCACGACACACGCAAGCGCGCAGCACAGCACAGCACAGCACGCACGCACCATCACCCCCCATCCTGACACACGCCGCCGTCCGCTCCCCTCCCTCCCGCGCTAACAAAACCCGTGCGCCCCTCCCCCCCCTTTTTTAGCCTCACCTTTCGCTGGGTTGGGATAGGATAGGGTAGGCACCCGGTCAAGCCACCCCATGCCTTGTGTCCTTCCGTTTTCTGCCACCTGCATTGGGCCCTGGACCATGGCCAAAACAGGAGGCGGAGACTCGAAAATTTCGAGACCGTCGGTGCCCTAGTCTCCCGAAGGATCGTGGGGGTGTGTGTGAAAAAGAAAAGTAAAGACGTAATGTAAACCCCGGAAGGAGAGGGAGAGCAGGCAAACATGATATCACGAGAGGGGAAAAAAAAAAAAAAAAAAGGGACGTGGGTGAAGAGTCAAGAAGAGAAATACGCAACGTCGTACACATCAAACAGACGAAAACAACAAGCAAGGAAGAATACGGGAGGACGGCATTATTGATAATGGAAGCCGCGACTGAGACAGGCATACGTCTCACCAAATCCTATTTTATTGCTTTGCTGGTCAAACCAAACCCTGGGGGCTGCAGAAAGCCCACCCGGCAAGCAAAGGGAAGTGTCCACAAGGTGGACGTGGCTTCGGGAGCGTCAACCGAGAGGGAGGAGCACAAAAGCCAAGGGGGAAAAAACAGCCGACACAAGCCACATCGCGCTCCGAGTCCCGCGGCTGGCCGAACAAATAGCAAAGAGAAATCAAAGAATAATAAATAATAATAAAAAAGACAAGTAAATCTCCGATTGCCCGTCCACGGCGGTCTGGTCCAAGAGTCCGTGTGTGTGTCTACCTGGCTAGAGGTAACTAGCTAGCTAGGGAGGTACCTACTTTAGCCTGGTCGACAAGGCCAGCCGACCATTTTTTTTTTTGGCTTGAGGGCACTCTACTCCGCTTTCCAGTGTTGCGAACCTGACCTTGTGTGTTGTGTTGTGCTTTCACTCGTCCCCCTCCCATGGAAAATATGGAAAGAGAGAAGCCGACACGAGCTCTGTGTTCACCAGGGCGTGAAACCGCCATAAAATAAAATAAAAAAAACCTAGACTGGACAGCTCGGGCTCAGGGGAGGGGCAGATTCTGGTTCGACCCGGCGACGACGACGACGGCGGTGGTGGCGATGATGCTCCGCGCTCTAGCCCTATCTGATCACCATCCTCCCCCCATGGCAGGTGCGGACGTACTAGTTTGTTACATGCCAGTCCGCTTGCGGTATTGCTTGCTGTTGGCTGGCGCCAGTTCTCGGGCCCAGGGTGAACTGCGTGCGTGCGTGCGTGCGTTGTTGGTCTGATCTTCCTAAAGCCAAGCCAACCATGTGTGTTATGTGCCCTTGCCCGCCCAGATCATCAAGTCCATCCATCTAAAATAAAAATAAAAAGCCACGCGCTCCAACACAAACCTCCCCTTTCATCTATCCATCACGCGCCCCCAAGAACACATCTGGCTGCGAGGTGACGGGGCTGTGGAATGGGGCAAGGGAGGGGCGAGCGGGGGCGGCAGAATGCGTGTGCGCCAGCCTTCTTCGTCTGCTTGTAAACAAGGCTTGGGACGTTTGCGACAACGAGAGAAGTGTCATAAAACAAACCCTCCTGACCCCATTCGGCATGGCCTCTCGCTTCCACCACCTGGTAGGGCATAGACGGAAAGATGGCCTCCATCCAGACTTGATAGATCGATTGTTAGAACACACCCCGGAAGACAAGATTAGGAAGGATTTGGCGCCCGCCGTCGCACTAGTGGAGACATATAAACATTTGAAAAAATCGGCCAAAGAGATACCGAACCAAGCCAGATCGAACCCAAAGCCAGTCTGTGGTTTTTTTTTAGTCGAAACAGCCTTCTCCCCCATCAAATGACTTTACAACACAACCCATACCATACATACATACGCACACAGCCCCACGCGTTCTAGCCCACCGCACTGGCATCTCCTTAGCTCGGTCGGAAGAGTCAGAACCGCTTCCCCGTTGGCGACGAGCCGATGGCTCGGGCGCGTGAACGGAGGGGAGGGGGTGCTCGCTCGCTCGCTCGCTTTCGCAGGCTGGTTCTAGACCCTCAGCAGTCCATTCTCAGGACTCGACGTGAGGAATATCGACGCGACGCCTGTAGTTCTAGACGTAGGGCGGCGCTACCCCGGGCAAGCGCGAGCATTCCATCAACGGGCGAGGTTTCTCGTCTCCCCTTGTTTACAGCTTGGACGCCGGGGCGGCGCTGCCCACGGTCGTGATTTCGTTGTAGAGGAGCCTGAGTTCGGGATTGTCTGGTTAGTATGTAGAAAAGAGACATCAGAAACCAACCGATGCCACTAGCAAAAAAAAAACTTACGTGGTCAAAAAGTCGGCATAGTCCTCCCCCGTGACCTGCGTGGCAAAGTACTTGGCCGCGAGCTGCATCTTGTTGCCCTGGGGCAGCGTCTTGGCCATCTTGTCGGCCTCCTCGCGTAGCAGCCGGAGCGCGTAGGCCTTGTCGACCTTGCGGCCCTCGGCCGTGCTGACGCCGTGGCGCACCCACTGCCACAGCTGCGAGCGCGACACCTCGGCCGTGGCGGCGTCCTCCATCAGGTAGTTGATGGGCACGCAGCCGACGCCGCGGACCCAGGCCTCCATGTAGCCCAGGCCGATGTAGAGGTTCTTGCGGATGCCGTCCTCGGTCACCTTGCCCGGCACGTTCATGTTGAGCAGGTCGCGCGCGCTCACGGGCGAGTCGTCCTCGCGCCGCACAAAGAGCTGGTTGGGCGTCGGCATGTGCTCGTTGAAGACGTCGGACGCGATGGAGGCCAGGGCCGGGTGCGCCACCCAGGTGCCGTCGTGGCCGGCCCGCACCTCGCGCAGCTTGTCGGCCCGCACGCCCTCCATGGCCTTGTCGTTGGCGGCCTTGTCGTCCTTGATGGGGATCTGGGCCGCCATGCCGCCCATGGCATGGACGCCGCGCTTGTGGCACGTCTTGATGAGCAGGCGCACGTAGGCGTCCATGAAGGGCACCGTCATGGTGACCGAGGCGCGGTCGGGCAGCACGCAGTCGGCGTGGTTGCGCAGCTTCTTGATGGTGCTGAAGATGTAGTCCCAGCGGCCGCAGTTGAGGCCCGAGCTGTGCTCGCGCAGCTCGTAGATGATCTCGTCCATCTCAAAGGCGGCCAGGATGGTCTCGATCAGGACGGTGCCGCGGATGGTGCCGCGGGCCATACTAATATAATCCTGGCCCAGGTTGAAGGCGTCGTTCCACAGGCGCGCCTCGAGGTGCGACTCCATCTTGGGCAGGTAGAAGTAGGGGCCGAAGCCGCGGCGCACCAACTCGTGCGCGTTGTGGAAGAAGTAGAGGCCAAAGTCGAAGAGCGAGCCGCTGATGGGCTCGCCGTCGACCGTCACGTGCTTCTCCTCGAGGTGCCAGCCGCGCGGCCGCACGATGAGCGTGGGCAGCGTCCGGTCCGTCCGCAGCTTGTACTCCTTGCTCCCCTGCTTGAAGTCGACCTGCCGCCGCACCGCGTCGTACAGGTTCACCTGCCCGTTGATCATGTTGTCCCACGTGGGCGCGCTCGAGTCCTCAAAGTCGGCCATGTACGTCCAGACGTTGGAGTTCAGGGCGTTGACCACCATCTTGCGGTCCGTCGGGCCCGTGATCTCGACGCGGCGGTCGACCATGCCCGGGGCGGGCGGGGCGCCCCTCCAGGTGTGGTCCTCGCGCACATACCTGGTCTCGGGCAGGAAGTCAGGGAGCACGCCCTTGTCGATCTCGGCCTGGCGCAGCTTCCGGCGCTCCAGCAGGGCCTTGCGCCGCCCGTTGAAGGAGCGGTGCAGCAGCGCCAGGAAGGCGAGGGCGGGCGGCGTCAGGATCTTGCGGTGCTCCTCGCGCACCGTGCCCAGCACGTTCACGCCCTCGAGGATGGCGTTGATGGTTGCCATTGTGGTCCACTTGTGTGTGTTGTTCCCTTCTTGTCTCTATTGCTGTCCTTTTTCAGGCGTCCAATGTGTCCGTCGTGATTCAATGGTGGATATCACAACGAGCTGCTGGTAGGTGTAGTAGGTGGCGGTCGGGGCGGGAATGGGTATAATGGGTATGGGGAAGAAGAGGGGAAACGAGAAGATGAGGAGAATAGAAGCCAAAGAGAAGCCGAGCAGGTGGATAGATAACAGAAAGTTTGCCCGGCCGGTGTCACGTCTGGGATGAGAGGACGGACAGCAGGCTGCCCCCGAGATAGGACCAAGCTTGAGCCGAGCCGAGGGTCACAGCTAGTGGGTAGCAAGGGTGCGGCGGTTGGTTCCCGCCAATGACGAAAACAGGGGCCCCCGGGATAAGAAACGGAGACAAAGAAGTCTCTGGCAAGGTCTGATGCAAAGGCTACCTACGTACGACTACTGTGTACGGCAGAGAAGCCCATAGACCGAGCTCGGCCCATCGGATGGAGCTGCGGTCGGCATCACCAGCCAACAGCTCCCCGGGGATCTGGGGGAAGGGGGAATGGACAGGGTACATGGCCCTCTTTCCCTTTCATGGCCCGTTGCATCGCGGGCGGAGGCTTGTGAAAGTGTGGGGTTTGGAGAAGCTTGCTGCTTGCCGCCGCCATTTTGCATGTGCCTTTCTTTTTTGACGCGGGCAAGGGGCAGAGCTCCTCCCGATTGAGTGGCCGTGCGGTCAGCCAAGGCCCCTGCCGCGCTCGTTGTGAGGTCATTGAGGGGCCGATCCCCCAGAGCTCAGCAGTGGCGGGGGCTGGTTGTCGGCGCTACGGAAGAGGCCAATTCCAATTGACTGCTGGTGCTTAGCTTTAGTGATTAAATTCCAGCAGGCGGCTAGCACAGTCGAGCTCGTGCACGAATCCATTCCGGACAGAGGACGGCCGATGTCGCCAGTCCACCTACCCTCATTTCCCCAGTCTTGGTCCACTTCTCCTTCTATTTGCAGCAGAGAAAGAGGGCCATGAGGCAGGCAAGGGAGCAACCAAAAAAGAAGAAAAAAACACAGTCTCGGAGAGAGCTCCTCGCACTGCCGAAATCGCAACCGAGGCTGATGGGCCTATGCCTTCCGGCGCCGTTTTCCGTCGGAGAACACGCCCGGCCTTTTCCGTGCCGGCATTTCCCGACGTTTCTTGTGCAAACTGCTTCAACATTCCGGCTGTCCATTGTGACGAATCAGAAAGACAAATCTCAGCAACTAGTTGTACTGATAGGGCATTCATGACTGTTATGAATTTGTTTATTTATGCTCTCTTTTATGGTTGATTTACACAGTATTGACTTTTTCTAGGGCTACGTGGGCTAGGCAGGAGAAACCCAAGTTTGTAATATCACAAAAAGGATGCGTTGTCGGCCCGCTCTCAGAAAAAAAAAAAAAAAGGGACAATGGTATAAACACTTGGGCTCACCCCTTGTAGGGGCTGGGGCCGACCATGAGCTCGGGCTTGACGAGCGTGTCAAACTCGTCCGACGTCAGCGCCTCGAGCTCCATGGCGCTCTCCTTGAGCGTCAGGCCCTTCTTGTGCGCGTTCTTGGCCACCTTGCTGGCCATGTCGTAGCCGATCTTGGGGTTGAGGCACGTCACGAGCATGAGCGACTCCTTCATGATGCTCGCGATCTTGACCTCGTTGGCCTGCAGGCCCGCCACCAGGTGGCGCTCGAACGAGCGCATGCCGTCGGCCAGCAGGCGCGTGCTGTGCAGCACGTTGCGGATTATCAGGGGCTTGTACACGTTGAGCTCGAACTGCCCGTTCATGCCGCCGATGGTGCAGGCCACGTGGTTGCCCATGACCTGCGCGCACACCATGGTGAGCGCCTCGCACTGCGTCGGGTTCACCTTGCCCGGCATGATGCTGCTGCCCGGCTCGTTCTCGGGCAGCACCAGCTCGCCGAGGCCGCACCGGGGCCCGCTGCCTAGGTAGCGCACGTCCTGCGCGATCTTGGTGAGCGACGTCGCGAGCGTGTTGAGCGCCCCGGACGCGTGCACGAGCGCGTCGTGCGCCGCCAGCGCCTCGAACTTGTTGGGCGCCGTCTTGAACTCGGTGCCCGTCATGCGGCTGACCTCCTCGGCGATGCCCTCGGCAAAGCCCTCGAACGTGTTGATGCCCGTGCCCACCGCCGTGCCGCCCTGCGCCAGCAGCCTCAGGTCCGGGAGCGCCGCCTCGACCCGCCTGACGCCAAAGTCGAGCTGCGCCACGTAGCCCGAGAACTCCTGCGCCAGCGTCAGCGGGGTGGCGTCCTGCAGGTGCGTGCGCCCGATCTTGATGATGCCCTTGGCCTCGAACTCGTCCACCTTTTTCTGGAGCGCGGCCCGCAGGCTGCGGAGGGACGGCAGCAGCTCGCCCTCGATCTCGAGCACGGCCGCGATGTGCATGACGGTCGGGAAGGTGTCGTTGGACGAGGCCGAGCGGTTGACGTGGTCGTTGGGGTGGACGGGCTTCTTGCTGCCCATCTGGCCGCCCAGGATCTCGATGGCCCGGTTCGAGATGACCTCGTTGGCGTTCATGTTGCTCTGCGTGCCCGAGCCCGTCTGCCACACGACGAGCGGGAAGTGGTCGAGCAGCTTGAGGTCAGCCACCTCGGCCGCCGCCTGTTGGATCGCCTTGCCGATGGTCGGGTCTGCTCCGAGGACACGGGCCGTGTTAGTGAGACCTGAGCCCCCAAAGGTGTCCTCCCCGCCAGCGAGGAGGGGATGGAGGGGTGACGCCAAGAGATTCAGGAGAAGAAAAAGACAGGAGAAAAAAAGACAGGAGGAAAAAAAGGACTCCATACCGAGACCGAAGCGCATGTTGACGGTAGCCGCAGCCCCCTTGAGGATGCCGAGGGCCCTCACGATAGGGGGCGGCATGCGGTCCTGGGGCTGGTTGATGCGGAAGTTCTCGAGCGAGCGCTCCGTCTGGGCGCCCCAGTACTTATCGGCGGGGACCTGGACGGCGCCAAAGGCATCCGTCTCGGTCCTGGTCGCCTTGCTGCTGCTGCTGCTGCTGCTGCTGTCATTGCCGGCCATGGTCGCTGGTGTCGAGTGAAAGAGGCGTGCGGTGGTGCTGCTGCTGCTGCTGTAGGACGAGGTGGTGGTGGGGATGAACAAGGAGGAGGAGGGGTGGGATTGCAGCAGGCCCGCCCGGGCGCTGGCAGGGCCGACGCTGCGCCATGATGTAGCCGTCCGACTCGAGTAGCAGCGACGGCCGGCGCACGTGTGGGAGCAGCTCAGCGACCTCAGTCCCGAGGCAGAGGCGGCCGCTGGCCCACGTGAAGCGAGGTTTCTGGCCGGCGCCAGGGCCGCCTTTTGCATTGGCCCGAACATGGCTTTCTTTTCGATTGGCTTTTTGACTGGCGCGTGTTATTAAGCAGAAACCGTTTTCGGTTGCTGGTGGCCGGCCGTTTGGGGAGGTCGGGCAACGCTGACTTCGAGGGCGATTGGCTTTTGGTGCTGCTCGAAAGGATGATGAGAGGAAGTGAGAGCCAAGTAATTGCACAACGCTTGGTATACAAAATAAGCAGTCGATTCGTCAATTGACTCAATTTGCGCTGGGCTTTCTAGTGGAAATGGGAAATGCTGAGAGGGTCGACGGAACTGCGAGAGGAAACCCGAAGCAAAAAAAAAAATTGCGCTTCCCAAAACGTTGGCTGGGACCCAAGCGCGGCCAAAAGGTACCTGACCACACACCGAATTTGGCCTTGGAGCCTTGTACCCGTGCCCTGACTCTGTACCCCGGCCTGCCGCAACTTGCAATTCCTGCCACCTCGGGATTCTTCACCGTCTGCCGGAGTATCCCGGCTGTCGATCCCGGCCGTCCGAAGCGAGCGCGGGATTTTGGCCAACCCCTGACTCGGCCGCCAAGACCCAACCCAAGAAGACTCAATCACTGCAGAGAACAAGAAATAGTGAATATTGCCAACACAAAGTCATTAATCCATGCAGCCAACTCAACGGCGCCTTTACCGCCTCCCTAGCTTAGCCACCGACACAAGTAGCCGTGGACCCAAGCATCCCGCTATTTCTACCTCGACTAGCAATTATGATAAGGGGGTGAACTTGCCTTCCAAGTGCCCGTTCTGGGCATGCATGCATCCTCCCTCCATCGTCTTTTCCCCTCATGTGTGAACCCCTCACCCCAATGCTGAAACGGTGCTAAACAAGCCCCATGAGCTTCCGAGAAACAAAAAAAAGAAGAAAATGAGAACCCCAGAAGATATCCACACAACTTTCTTTCCTCGTCACCCCTTCTCCGGTCTTGATGCACCCTGTTGATCTATTAGCTTGTTCCATCCAACAGAGCACGGGCAGCTAAACTAATGCTAGCCACAGCTCTCTATTCAAACACCATGGTATGCGGTATTACCCCTTCCCTTGTCGTGTGTCCGATATCATGCTGCCGGTGGGCACAAAATTCCACGGCTGGTTGCCCAATAGGCCAGCACCAAGACGTGGCCGGCGAGCAGCAGAATAACTGAGCCGTGTGCGGTCGCTCGATGCACGGCTGGCGCCAAATGGCAATCGTGTAGGCCCGGCGTAGCCGTAGTGCAGCCCTCCAAAACAGCGATCAAGTATAGGTAGTTTGACAGAAGAAGAAGCAAGTGAAACAGAGAAATAAGGAGAAACGTAAGCCATTCAAACGTGGAAGAGACAGGATGGGAAGGTGAATCGAAGAGCGCAATCTTGGGGGAAAAGGATAGCATAGACAGCATAGTCACAGGGAGGTCACGAGTTCAGCGTCTTGATCATCATCTTGGCCTTCCTCTTGTCCGTCACGAGAAGGCCACGGCTGGTGAAGACGGAGAGGATCGTATCCACCACCTTCTGGAAGCTGCTGGCGGCTCCCTCTTCTTGGGTGAAACGGACGATGCTCAGGTGATTTCGCTTGCCGTGCTCGATCACCGTGATGAACTCGCAAGCGAAGGACACCTCCTTGAGCTGCAGGTGGTTCTTGGCGCCGACCCGGGCAAAGACAATGTTGCGCTCCTTGTCGACCTCGACGTCCCGCATGCCAAACCTGCGCCAGTCCCGCAGCATGATGGCGATATCTTGACGCGCGCGCCGCCGGGGCATCGTTAGGCAGATCGTCCGCGTCGCTGGCTTGACCTTGAAGAGGCGTGCAAGCCAGTTCTGCTGCGGTTTGATCTTGCGCCCGCCTTGCTCCTGTTCGTCAAGGTCGAGCACATCCAAGCGGCTCGACATGCGCGACTGACGGCCCGATGGCAGTCGCTCAGAGCTAACAGCATCCTCGTATCCGGGGCCTACAATCTGTTAGCATGTAGATAACACGACAAGGCAAATTAAAGCAAAGGGGCAAAAAGCAAAGAGCAATACTGACCAACAAGCGACATCCGCGGCTGACTTCTGCTCTTCCAGAATTGAAACAAAAAGCTTCTCTTCTTGGACGCAGTATCCTGCGGCGGTGGAGGCGGCATGGCTCGTGTCGACGCCGAGTCTGTCTGATTCGACTGTGTCGCGCAGGAATCCATGCGCTGTGGGATGCTGTCACTCCTGGCAGCCGCCACGCTGTCGGCCTCGGCCTCATTGGATTCTTTCGAATCCCTTGACAGCCTCTTGAACCAGGTTGACGTCTTCTTCCTCATCGCAAAGGTGGACGCGCTACCTTGGGATGCAGTCTTGGTCAACTCGGGCCGAGTCTGGGCCGAAGTCGCAGCCGACACTTGTCGCCGCGTCTCGGCGGCCGAGGGGACAGGGTCCGGGAGAGGCCTCTCCTGCGGGCTAGTGACGGAGGACTTCTTGCGAATTTTGAGTGGCTGCGGCACTGCTGCGGCGGCTTCCACCGCCGGAGCAGCTAGCTTGGAAGATGGAGAATGGACGACACGAATGGTCTGCTCGGCCCTTGAGAGATAGCTCAGCGCCCTGTTTTCGTGATCCCGCGAGGAGACACGGGCGGGGGACCTGGCGGGCGCAGAGACAATGCGGGACTTGTTTGGGTCGTCATTCTCGTTGATTGCAGGCAGATGGCCCATCTCTCTTCCACCATAAGGCCCATGGACGGGCGCAGAGACAACACGTCGCTCCGCGGGGCTTGGCGTGATGCCCGACCTATGAGACGAGGAGAACCGGGGCTGTCCCGCTCGCTGATGACCTCCTGCTGGCGCGAACCTGTCATGGAAGGCCGCAGCGGGAGCATTCTTGTGGCCAGATGAAGGAGGTGTAGGAGGTAGTGGTCGAGAATCCCAAGGATGCAGAGATGAACGAGGGGCTGTAGGGGTAGCTAAAGGCGTTGCCGGGCTCGGGCTTGTAGGCGGGCCAAGGCTCAGAGAGAAGGGGGAGCCCTCTCTTGACCTCCCATCGAGAGGTGTTTCCGAAAGCAGAGAGCTGTTAAAGGCCTCGTCACAGTCCTTGGCGATGCTGCTGCTAAAGTGCCTGAGCTCCTCTGTCAGGACCATGGTTCCGCCCCGCTCATTAGCCGGGCTGATCTCAATCTTCACCGAGGCGCTCGTCGCACAGCTCTGTCGAGAAGGCCTGCAGTGGCTCGATGGCGAGGTGACATCACGGTCATAGGTAGATTCATCCCCAGCAATACTGGCTGGTGCCTTGATGTCACGCGACAGCGCGCTCCGCCGACGGCTGTTTCGGACGCCCGAGAAGTCCATAGCTCTCTTGTAGCGTGGGGCCGCACGTGTGCGCGGCTGCATATGCCTGCTGCTGGGGGCAGAGCTCACGGTGGTGCCGGCCGTCAGGCGTCGGTTTCCTAGCTCGGATTTGCGAGGACGCAAGTAGCTCCCGCTGGAGCTCGCACCACGGGCCCTCCGCATGGCTGTCGAGCCGAGCGACACGGATCTCTGGACAGACCCTGTGGCGTCACGATGTATGACAATCTTGGCATGGGTCGCCTTTGGGTGCGACTTGATCGAAGCCCTGTATGGATCGTAGCTTCGGACTGTGCCAAGTTCCGGCCCAGTCGCATCCTTCTCAGGCACGTTGGAGATGACGGTGAACTTGGAAATGCTCCGACCAGTCCCGTTGGCCTTGTTAGTGAGGAACTGACGCGTCGAAACCCGTGTGGAATACTGTGGAGGGCGGAGATGGTGGTAGTCGCTCTCCGAGTGCGTCAAGCTGGGCTTGTAGTCCTCGAGATATCTCTCCCTGTAGTTATGCAGAAGCCAATAGAATAGCTTCTGGTCGTTGTTGCTGCATTGCCACCAGCCGTTAGATTGTGTCCCAAAGCATACAACAGCAGGAAATTGCGGCGGAAAGTCACACACCCTTCGCTGATCAGCGTGCTTATCAGCTCGTCCTCGGAAAATGTGTGCCACACAGATTGGAGCGGCCGGAGGATCTGCGGGTCGATGTTGCAGAGGTCCAAAGGCTTGGTGTTCTGGCTCAGCCTAGGGTCTGGACCACCCTCGCAGTTGCTGAGCTCGTCGAGATAGCCAAACTTCCAGGTGAAGGGGTGTTCCCACATATCCGCCATGGAAATGCGTCTCGAGGGGTTGACTTGAAGTATGCAGTGAATGAGGTCCTTCGCCCCGGGACTGAACCACCGTGGCATCTCGTAGATCCCCTTCTTCGCTTTGGAAAGCATGACGCGGACATCGTCATCGTCAAAGGGAAGTCGTGCGGCCATCATGACAAACAAGATGACTCCCATGCTCCAGATGTCCGACTTCTCGCCGCGGTAGGCCTTCGCGGACAACAGCTCAGGAGCGGCGTAGTGAGGGCTTCCGCAAGACGTCACCAGAGGCACTCCGGGCCCTTGATGAAGAGCAGCCATGCCAAAGTCGGCAATCTTGACGGTCCCGTCCTCTTTGAGCAAGATGTTCTCGGGCTTGAGGTCCCGATGGCAGATGCCGAACGAGTGACAATACTGGACGGCGCTCATGATCTGTCGGAAGATGAACATGGCCTGTTCTTCCGACAGCGGCCCGTTTCGCGCTATGTAAGCGAATAGGTCGCCTTTCTCGACATACTCCAGGATCAGATAGCTAGGTTGGACAGGTTAGCATGTTGAGCCAAGAGCCGTCCTCCAGGTTGTGGGCGAGCCAACATACATTTCATCCCTGTTTTCCCAAATGTCGTATATCTTGACGATATTGGGGTGGTCGATGAGCTTTAGGATGGCCACCTCGCGCTCGATAGATAGAGGCATCCGACGCATGCCATTTACGTCTTCGGGCATGGCGCTTTCGATCTCGTCCAGCTTGGCCAGGCTACCAGCCTGGGTGATCTGGCATACGCTCTTGGCGACAATCTTGACAGCAACGTACTGCTGGGTGACATGGTGGCGAGCAAGCCTCACGCGAGCCGAAGAGCCTTTGCCGAGCGTCTTTCCCAGCTGCCAGGGCCCGACATGGGTTTTGGGCTTGCGGAAGCCGCTCGAGGTGGTCGAAGGGTTCGACGCCGCCGAGACCTGCGATGCACGCTTCGAGTCTGCCGTGGAGCGAGAGTCCTTGGAGATAGCTGACAAGCGCGGGTTTGGAGGAGGAGCAGCAGTGGTGCTCGGGGGCGCCTTGACGCGGCGATAGCGACTCCGCGAGGGGTCAACATTTTCCGAGCCGTGGCCGGCGGGCATGTTGGGCGGGATTACGTTGTTTGAGCGATCCTTGAGAGGCGGCCGCTCGCCGGGCCGCGTGTAGTTGCCCATCTTACCTCATGCTTGATCTGGGCCCGGGCTGGTGGTCGTTGAAGCGGTGGTGGTTCGAATTGCAAAGGTTGGGCTGGCAAGGTGGCGGGTTGAAGACGCGAGGAATGGCAAGGGAAAAGGCTGCTGGCGGTGCCGGGCAACAGGTTGTGGAGGTTTGGCGATTGGCCAGAGGAGGAGGAGCGCGCCGGACCCCACCAGCACGCCGCACCTTCCCAGAGATATCGGACTCCAACGCCCTTCATCAGCCAGACGCTGGAATCCAGCAGTGGGGCGCACGGAAATTAGAGGCGGCGGGCGCCGTGCCTTTTCCATCAATGATGCGTGTTCTAAGGGCCTACCTTTTGTTTAAGAGATGCGGGCTTGTCGTGCATGTCTAGTATTCTGGTCCAGCCGGGCAGCCGCCAGCCATACTCGCTACATCCCCGCATGTGTCTCCCCGCATGTGTCTATCTGCCAGGGCAGCAGCCTGCATCGAAGCGGATACGGATAGTTCCATCAGCTTACCAGAGCTTCCAAACGGAATTCCAAACAGGCGCGGAATCTATCGCAAGACCGGAGATCATATACGGAATATCGCCTGGATTTCTCTGCATATACAACCTTGGACGAGAGAGCCCACGACGAAGAGCGCTGACACTGGGGCATCTTAGACCGACTCATGGCCCATCCGATACACACTGGCTTTGTAATCACCTCGACAGAAAGGCAGTGATAGGCTGTTGCTCCATGTATCCAGAAAGGCCCGGAAATAGTTGCAATCATCAAAGGCAGATCCGTGCTCATGTCTAGTAGCAGGAGGGACTGTTTGGCGCAATGTGTAGTGGGAAGAGACATGACGAGAGAACAGGTGAGAAATACGCAGAAAAGGGCTATATGGCATTTGAAGGAATGAAATAGCGGGCAGAGCTGAGACATTCCAAGACAGAGCAGTTGTTTTGTATACAAGCAGCCAGACAAGACCTTCGGTTGGAAATGCACTGCGAGCCTTAGTTACATGTGCTAAGACACTGGTCCCTTTGGGTGGCGTGTGTAAGTGCTGGATATTCAGGGGCTGCATTCCACGGACAGATTATTCAGCGAAGCCACAACACCGTCGAATGCCTAGCTTGCGAGGCGGAGGAGGTGTTGTGGCGTAGCTGTTCTTTACCGGGGGAATCTGACAGAATTGCTGACAAAGGTTTCTCCTATTCGGGACACATTGGTTAACTCTAATTGCTAGACAGTGCGGCGTGGTTT